GTTGTGGTCATTCAAAGGGAGATTAATCATGCGAGTTCCCAGAAAAATTTTACGAAAATAATCCGCTCTAGGCGTTAGTGCGTGACGAGAAGAACAGTGCACCACACGAAGACGCGACCGTGAGGACCACGGCTAGGGAAAAAGGAAGAATGTTAAATGTGATAAAAAGATGTAACCCAGCTGGTCTTGTAATCATGTGAATACAATTACTGTATAGATGAGCTGAGTGACTGCAACCAATGTCGTTCACTGTTGTCGTTCAAATTTAGTTATATGCAACAAATTGGTCGTGACGAAGTTTATCGCAAGAAAGTCGAGAGTTATCTGAAAGCAAACAAGATGTTTGTCGACTGCTACGATCCTGCCAGCAGGCCTGCTTACACTCAGGTATGTACACTCTGCTGCGCTTCTCGTCTTTTGTTGGTTGTTGAAGGATTCTGCGTAACCTTCCGATTTAATCTTCCTCAAAAATAAGGTTGGAGTGAAATGCTTGGCTTACCCAGGGAACCAAAACCAAGCTCTGAAATCTTTTCATAACAATCAATAGTAATGAAAGAGAAAAGTATGGAATGATCAAAGGCAATCACCGTCAAAAGTGAACCTTGCTCTACTTTGAAATGATTTCTGAATGGTGACATACTCGCAAATTCTTCAGTTTCCACCCAATCTTTTTTTTAGCATAGCCTTCTCAAATCGTGTTCTTGCACATCAGTTCCATCGTTATCACACCACAAAGTTTTCCCTGTCACGTAGTCAGTAATCATGGCTTCCACCATAAGCAACTTGAGATTAGCACATCTAGTCAGTACTAAATCATATACAGTCAAAAGTGTGCTATTGAAACAGGATATGGATACATCTAACATCAGACGCGCGTACGACGCGATTGCTCGTGCGACTCATTGCGTCGCGCGAGTGATCGCGTCGCACGCGCGACTGAAACGCTGCCGTCGCAAGATCGCCTTCTCACCAGGGAAGTCTGCCAACTTACCATGGACCTTCAAAT